ATAGATACAGATCGCTGTCTATACAAACATACTAATGTAATTTCTCGTAGCAATGACGATCCTTGCGTTTCTTATTATATATCTCTAATTCAATCCCAGTTTTTGTACTGTGAATGTAGTACTGGCTTTGAATTTCTCGTATTGCAGCAACAACAGCTCGACAATTTTCCGTAGTATAATTATATAATATTATTAAATTTAATGATAATTAGAGTTGCATTATGTATGTGACGCAGAAATAATTTTCCTGAACTAAAGGTATGTTTATTCTCTTTTATTAAATATGTCTTATGAAAAGAGAATAAACTTCTTTAATTCAGCAAAATTATTTTTGCGTTGCGTACATAAGGCAACTTATATGTAATATGAGAAATTACATCCATGTTATGATAATATACTACAAATTTTAAAAGATCAATGACTAATTCTATGAATAAATCGAAACACCTTTCATTATTAATGATATATTACAGGATCAATGATAGAAATTGTCAAAGAACAAAGAGAGAAAGGATAAATCGGCGGCAAGGTTGTTGGCCGGAGCTACAGAGCGCTGTTCGATTTTGGGGATTGAGCTTGGTCCGGGGTTGTCTAGCCATGCGGGGGTTGTCCGGGTGGCTCAGGTTCAAGGACACAACGGTCGATAAACCCCCGACAAGACTGGAAAAAGGGAGGGGACGGAGACATGGTTTGAGGGCGGAAGAGGAAGGAGCTGGATTGCCTGCAGACTGCGGAAATTTATCGCGGACAAAATTGATCGCTTCGTAATATTCTTAAAATGCCGAATAATTTTACATAAAAGAGATTTTCGCGAACAAGAGAATTTATATTAGTTATATGTTTTATTAAACATATTAATATAAATTCGCTTTTCGCTGAGTTAAACGTAAAACTTATTATAATTGTAATAAATCTATTTAGCTTTCAACTTTTTTACTTCTTACATGCATACACGACTTTACACGAATATTTGATAAAATCATATATGTACGTAAGAAATAAAAATGTTGAAAGCTAAATAGATTCATTGCAAATATAATAAATTTTATGTTTACCTCAACAAATTTTAATAACAGATCCTAAAACGGACTTCACCTTTTTTCAATGGATACATAGCAAGCAATTTGTCTACCGGAAAAAATTCAAAAAAATTACTTTAAAATTTTTTGTGTCTATTCAATATTAAAAAATGAAATGAAATAAAAGTAGTAGAGTATAAAATTACGCGGAACAAACTTCGCAATGCAGTAAATTTATTTTTTCATCATAATGTATTGAATTTTTCTATTTATACCAATAACCTAAGCTTTTTAAACATTCTTGAGTAAATTGATTTCAATTAATAAGCGCTTTTAGCATTCGCGCGGAACAAATACTTGTATTTTATTAAATACATCTAATTCAAATCAAGCACAAACAAATAAGAGATAACTGTGAAATACATTTATATTTTGTAATTAATAAATTTATTAACGTAATTATTAGTTAATTTCTTGGAAACACAAAAGTTTTTAAAGATTGTTTTTTTATTTAATATACTTCCTTCAGAAATTGTAATGCTGCAAAGTTAGCTTTAGTATTCAAAAGGAAATTAAACATGCTCTCCAATGTAAACAATGCTTAGCTTAAGTATCCAAAAAAAATTAAACATGCTCCCGAATGTAAAAAGCTCATTAAAAATAAATAAACAAATGAGACAAATAGAATGGTGAGACAAATATAAACATATTTTCTTATATCTAACCGTTCTTTTTAGAGATCAATACTTTTTCGCGAAATAAACTCGCTAAATGTATCCGTGCAAGAGAATATAATTTTTATCATTAAAATCTATTCAATTAGTAAAATAGTTTATTTTGTTATTGTGTTTTAATAGGTTATTTTGAAGAAACTTTCTTAGCTGGATTTGACTTCTTTGGTTCAAACACGTAATTCATATGCATTCATTACACAAAAAAAGGAATAAATAAATTTAAAAAAAAACATCTATAAAATTTCTTAATTTAAATCTATTATCATTGGTATTAAGGTAATTTGTCAGAAGATAATGCATCTACATTCTGCAGCGTAGAATTCATAAACAATGTTAATAGCAACAATAGTATTCTACTGATGTATTTACTAAAGTAAAATAAATCATGCATAAATTAACTTACCAGCAGGACAAAATCGCCCTTCCGGACCAGCAAATTCAACTAGATTTCTCTTCACTGGAATAGTATCATCCATTAAAGTTAAATGGGCTGGTTGATCAGCTTCGTGATTGGTACCGGTTAGAGCCACTGATGATAGAAGATCGAAGGACACTTCATTATCCGGTTTAGGATATTCTATGGGCGTCGACTCAGCTGCAGATTTCAGCTTCTTATAATCAGGTCCTGTGAACATAATAAATAGAAAATAAATTCCAAAAATATTTTAAAAATTCGGTATTTTTCAAAAAACCTCTTCAAATATAGAAATTGTAGAAATTTCTGCTTACCTCCATGGGAAAAAGTCCACGGCTCCTTTCCACCCATTAACATGGAAAATCCTGAATACATCAAGCCACCGTAAAGTCCAAGAGAAGAATGGAAACTGGGCCTCATGTTTCTTACAGCTTTCAGTTCCTTATAGATCCAACTATTTTTTATTTTATTTGTATATGTTTTCGGTTCTAAACCTTTCGTCGATGAAATATTATTTTCTGCGTCTATAATCGCTTCAACAACGCTTTCTGCAGCCAACATGCCACTTTTCATAGCGTTATGAGTTCCTTTAATTTTGGGCACATTTAGAAAACCTGCCGTACATCCGATAAGGCAACCACCAGGAAATTGAAGCTTGGGAATGGATTGGAATCCACCTTCCACTAATGCTCTAGCACCGTAAGCTATTCTGTAATTAGGAAGAACAAGTGTAAGAATACAAAACCATGTAATCAAAATAAATTTCTTATTACAAATACCAACCTTTTTCCTCCTTCAAATGTTGGTCTAATACTGGGATGTTGTTTAAACCTCTGAAACTCTTTGAATGGAGATAGATAGGGATTGGTATAATCCAATCCTACAACAAAGCCTACAGCAACTAGAGGTATTTCTTCATTCAGATGATATAAAAATGATCCGCCATATGTATTTCTATTAAGTGGCCAGCCAACTGTATGTTCAACTGCTCCAGGTTTATGTTTGCTTGGCTCTATCTCCCAAACCTACCAAAGATATGTTTTATTTTATAAATATATATTTTTGATATTTAAATTTTTTTTAATTTTGAGAAGTAACTTAATAATAACCTCTTTTAATCCAATGCCATATGTCTGCGGCTCACAATCTTTCCTAAGATTCAATTTCTTTGACAATTGTTTTGTCAGATGACCGTGACAGCCTTCTGCAAATATGGTACATTTTGCATGAAGTTCCATGCCCCGTTCAAATACATCTTTGGGTGAACCATTTTTAGCAATACCAACATCATTTGTAGCTACTCCTTTGACTGACCCATCTTCATGATATAGGACTTCTGATGCGGCGTAACCAGGATACATTTCGACCCCAGCAGCTTCTGCTTGTTCACCAAGCCATGCCACAACGTGTCCTAATCTATACATAGATACACGAATATTTACAGTCAAAATACATTCATTACTTATTAATATCTTTTTTTATACACTTATAATAAATTTTATTCACCTTACTATATAATTTCCATGATTATACATTGGCATTCCTTTAAAAATAGGTATAGATATTCTTTTCTTTTCCGTAAGAAATGCAAATTTGTCTTCCGTAACAGGAGTATTTAGCGGTGCACCTAATTCTTTCCAATTTGGAAAGAGCTCATTCATTGCAATTGGATCCAAACAGGCACCACTAAGAATATGTCCACCGATTGTAGATGCCTTTTCAACAAGAGTAACTCTGAGTTCCTTGCCATACTTCTCTGCCAATCGACGAGCCTGAATAGCTGCCGATAATCCAGCTGGTCCGCCACCAACAATTAAAATGTCGGTTTCGTCCACATACCTCTCCATATTTACATCTAGCAGATAAAGAAGATATTTTCTCTCAATTTTTCTCCTAATATTATTTATATTATCTTCAGAAGTAAAAAAGTCAAGATAAATATTTACCTTTCCATCTTGAATCTGTCTCCCTGGGTATTACTGTGTAATGAGTTGTGATTTGAGGATATTTGGCATCCGAATAAGCTCTCTGGAAAATCCTTTGTAGCCTCTGTACTGTCAAAAAAGCAATCAAAATTAAACTGAACATGCAGATTATTGCATTCGAATTAAAGTATTATGTATTACAATAAGTAACACATTTGCGTACTTATATTTGACGATCGCGAAATAATTCATAATAAAATATATATGTATGAGATAAGGAAGAGTATAACAATTCGAGAATTTCAACATAACACTTGCGAAATTTCAGATTTCAAATCCGTACATTTGCGCAGCCGCGATCGATATATCGATCATGAAACTTTAATAAAATTTCGTATTTTCGCAAATAATTTTTTTTCTATTCATTTAATGCGATAATCTGATATATGTATATATATCACCTTTTGTTATTTCAAATATTTATTGACAAAAAATCCATAAGCTAGATCCATTGTTTTGATTGCATTTTTTACACTCTCCTTTAGCATCAAAAAAAAAAAATAAAATATTCTCGTGCTTTATAATAAAAGAATGGAACCGTATGACAAAGTGTAGACACAGTACAGTTGTAGAAATATGACACGGGAGCAAAGTCCACTCGTGTTTATACTGTTCAACTACCTATCGATTAATATATATAAAAGAAGATAGACGAAAGTCTTTATTACATCAAAAAAACAATTAAAGCCAATACTTATGCTTTAAATAATTTCACATTTATTAACGAAACGTACGAATACTATTTAGTAATCATAGAACGAATAATAAAAATATTTACATACGATTGTACAATATATATTCAACATAATCTTCTTAAGCACAATATTATATAACGTACAATATTCGGTCAATTATTATATCTTTCACTATCGTGTGTGTTTCTCGAAAAGACGTTATTATTCGAATAAATATTCGCTTCTTACTTCACGACGGAAAAGCTGAGCGAACCCTAACCAACATACAGTTGACATTATCGAACACTATAATGTTTGCGTAAAGTTATGCGTCGCTGGAAAAATTTGGATGAAACATCGATACACTTACCAGTGCCGGAAGCGCTGAATACGAAAGCCATAATCGCGTACAAGTGCCGATCAGTGACCAGCGATAATCATAAAAAAAAAAAATAAAAAATATATCCACACACTTGTCACCGCGTTCGCTCAATCGCAAGTAGCGCTTGAAAACGTACGTCAAGTGACATCTGTGCTATGTAAGCCGTAAGCCAATAACAATGCGCGTCGATCGCTCGATACGGTTGTTCGATATCTCGAGCTCGAGAACGTTTCGAGATATCATTCCAGTATCGGTGGCACACCTTGACAGAGATGTTTACCTATGTACGTATTCCGCGTCGAGTCATCGCATCGCATGACGATTCCGTACGGCACGTGAACATCTGCATGCTCGCAGTTATGTGCTTCCATTGTGAAAATACAAGTGCTTTATGGTGATAATATGTCAAAACCAAACATAAGGAAGATAACGGCTGACCCTACGAAATGTAATACAGACTCTTCTCGACGGCCGAGTGTGTTTGAGAGGTTGGGCACCAAACCAGCGATCGCCACCACCTCCGCTCAGAATACATCGGATTATTGCAGAAATTGGGCCCTCAACGGCAGTTGTTCCTACGGCAAGAATTGCAAGTGAGCGCTATATATATTTGTTATAAAAATTTGTTACTGAGAAAAATTTTTTTCTGCAAGATGTATATATACTGAGCAATTTCGCAACTAATCAATTATTAGATTTTACATTATTGATTTATATTATTCTTTACTGAAGCAGACTTATTATAGAGTATTGAACTATATGAATTTTCTGTTTCTCTTCTTTAATTAGATACGCAAATACACATACATTGATAAGCCCATCTAAACGTGCTAAGAAAGATAATGCGATCGCAAGTACATCTGGGGTAAGCACATCACATTTCAGTATTTATAATAATAATTTTATTTGACACAGTATTTTTAGAGTCTTTATCATGCAATAGAATTAATCAGAGTTGAAATTAATAATTGTCTAGCTGTAAACTAAGGATTCTTTTTTGATTCTTGATATTATAGCTCATCGAAGATCCTTTCAAACGGCTTACGTCAAAAATCGTGAAAAAAGCATCTCATAGCCCTGATTTAAATATAGAAGAGTGGAATCAAACAGATCTCGAGTACGAGGACGAGAAGGTATTGGAAAGACGGCGGCAATTGTTACAACGAGAACTGGAATTACAAATGAAGAAGGATAAAGAAATACATGGCAAGGATAAAGTAAAGCAGAAAAAAAAGGCTATGAGCTCCTCCTCCAGTTCGCACACTTCCAGTACATCTAGTAGCAGTAGTAGCTCCAGCAGCGAAGACTCATCTTCTACATCAACGTCAGATTCACGAAAGAAAGTCAAGAAAATCAAAACAAAGAGGCATCACAGCGCTTCCACTGATTATGACGAAGATAAAGAAAAGAAAAGAAAGTAAGAATATACTTATATAATATTCTCAAAATTTGATATGTAATATATAATATAATCATGCAACTGCAATCATCTGTAAGGAAAAGATTTCTTATAATTATATTTAAAATAAGTAATCTATATATTATATCATATTTCAACATTAGTTACATCAAATGTTTTACCTCATTGTAGTTCATTAATCAAATTTGTTTTTATGTAACTTACAGATTGAAGCTCAAGAGATTGGGAGCGAAAAACGACAAAGCCGTCAATAAGAAGAAACGTAAGCTTGAAAACAATTCCACAAAGAAAGATCTTACCACTAAGTCAGTCAAGAAGCATACTCCATTATCTGTATCTAGAAAACATTCTAGCTCATTGCGCGCTAGATCACCCGCGATACAACAGGGATCTACGAGTGGGATTACATCTACATCAGCCGTAGTATTGGGCTCGTCGATTTCCGTAGCGCATCATGCATCATCATCTGGCAAAATACGGGAGAGAAACAGAAGCGAATCGCCGAAAGTGATGAAGGGTAATCGGGAAATGGATAAGGAGGACGGCAGGCATTACAAGAAAGTGCGTGACATAGAGGTATGTTTGTCCAAGGATGCATCTAAATACAAGTCGTTCGATAAAATCAAGGAACAACAGGATAAGGAGAAAAGTCGTGCAAGCGATGAGAAGATCAAGTCGGATGACCGGTTGAGATCCAAGTGCATGGATAAGGATGTGCGTTCGCGTACACCACCGCCACCTCTATCATCATCAGAGCGGTCAGCCAAGCATCAGCACATCAAGGAAAGCGTGCCCTCGAAGGCGCGACGTAGCCGAACGCCTGATAAGACACCGTCAAGAGCGAGACGGGATGTCACCCCAGTAAAAAATCCGGAGAAACGAGGCAGCTCATCGAGTCGTGCGAGAGACGCGGAGAAGAAGGAGCGCGACTCACACAAAAGAGATAAGAGCAAAGAGCGGGAGGACGCGAAAAAAAGCGAGCAGATCTCGAGTAATAAGGCGAAGCAGACAACGAATCAAGACGAAAACTATCGCAGGAGTAACGCAAGCAAGGACAATTTTGACGAAAAGACGTACGGTGGCGACAAGACGCGACAAAAGAGTCGCGAAGGTCAGCGCGAAAAAGACATAAGAGAGGAGCGTCACTCGAGATTGACTCGCGATCAGCGCCAGGAACCTCAGCGCGATAAAGATAAGGATGAATCTCAGGAACGTTGCCGTAACGAGAGGCAGCGAGAGCGAGACCGCGATCGGGATCGCGAGAGGGAACGCGAACGCGACAGAGACAGGGATCGCGAGCGAGAACGAGAGCGCGAGCGCGATCGTGAACGGGAGAGAGATCGAGAGACACGAGAACGAGATCGCGATCGAGATAGAGAAAGAGAAAAGTCTATGAAGTCGCGAGAGAGGGACGTACCTACACTGGTTTCGTCCACGACGTTAAATCTTCCGGCGGATAAGAGTTCGCGTTACAGCAGCAGGATGAAGGAACGACCTTTGAGTAAGGACGTGTCGTTTGAAAAGAACAGCGGGGTTCGCGAGCGAAGCAGAAGCGAACGCGAACGGGAGCGATCCGAGACGAAGGCTCTCACTGAACGGGAACGAAATTCGACGCAATCGCGTCTGGATGGAAGGTATGAAAGAAGTGGCGCCATCGAAAAGGACGCCTCGTCCTTAAATCGCAGTAAGTCAAGCGTAAATTCACCGCGAGATCGCATGGACCGTTTTCGAGAGACATCCTTGGACCGTACGCCTTTACACGACAAGGGTGGGCATACTGTGGCATCGTCAAGCGTCCAATCAACGGCGTCTTTACCGCTGGTGCCTACGACTTCGTCCTCGGCGATTGTGACATCCGCTCCACCGTCGTCTCGCGATCATTTGATGGACATAGTGGACAATCACTATGATAGGGATCGGCACGGAAGGAGGTTTGGCATGAGATACGAACGAGGACACGCATCGGAACACAACAGCAGGAAGGATCAGACGCGAATCGAACCGAATCGTATTCCGAACAAGATCGATCGGATAGTGGATCGTCGGGACATGACTAGTCCACGACGCGCCGTGGAAGTGGACAGGAATTTCGGTAGAAATTACGGCAGGATGCCGGAGCATTGGGATGAGCAAGAAGAGTCAGCCCTTCACGTGGAATATCGCGATCACACTCATATTCACGATGATGACAGGAGAAAAACCGTCGAGGGCAGACGGTATGACAGTCCTTTTGAGGAGAGACGCGTCGCTCGCGAGGAGAGATCTAAGGAGTCGAGGTACATGATCCAGACTGCGGAGCGAACGTCCTTTGATGATCACCGTCATCATCACCATCATCATCGACATCCTCTCTATACTGGCGATAAGCTGAGAAATAGTGGAGCTGGAATTAGGTAATAATTAACACATACGTAATAATCAGTATAAAAAAAGTGTTATACTCATTTATTTTTATCGTGCTTTATATGAAGAATATTGATATTATACAAAATATTGAATTACTTTTCTGTAAACATGTAGCTTTTCACTTATAACGTTGAAGCAAAAATTGCAAACTGATAAATAGTGTCAAAAAATTTTTCAAGTTCTCATTTTTTAAATGTTAGTTTTATTAACATTTATATGGACAATATATATATATATATATATA